CAGTAGATGCTGAAATGCAATTCACACTTTCTGCTAAAATGTTTGTATCAAATACCTCCCTATTCAGACTGATTTAACACCATATATTTTTATTGTACTATATGTCCCAGAGAATGATACAAAATAATCTTAGATATACTATACCAGAGAAAAACTGTTCATATCTTAGCATTGATACTCTAAAATGTTTTGCCGCCTTAGATTCAAATTACAGCTCTCTTAAAAAATGATGGAGTCTTTGTTAGTTATTATGTAAGAAATATTCATCATTTGGCAAATTATTATCACTATAACAAATTCACCAAACAAAAGAGTTCACTTGCTTCACCTTGAAGCCCTTTCTTCCCAGACTAGATGTGTTTGTTGCTGATTTGAAAAGCTGTGCCCAGAAAACATCTTTCATGATTGTAATGCTACCCTCTTTGATCTAGTTAGGGTTGGTATTTACACCTTAAGTGCAGATTTCAATTATCTTTTTTTTTTCTTTTAATAAGAAAGATACCAGAATGGAAGAATAGTTTGTTAGAAACTCTACATGAAAGAGCAGATGATTTTATTTAAACACAGCACAGGTCAGACTGAATAAAATAGCATTTGGATACATAGATAAAATGCATAGATGCTTTCTTTAAAATAAGCATGCTCATGGGTCTTGCAGAGTCTAATGTTTGGCAGTTATCCTCTTTGCGCTTTTCCTGCAATAGTTTGGCAGTTCGGCTTTCACAGGTTTTTCCCCTCTAATGTCTTATGTTTCTTTACTAAATCCCTATCAGAAAACCAGACAGAAGACTCTTATTTATTTTAAATATCTTAGGTTTAGCATCTTTTTTTTTTTTCACCATTTTCTTGCTTACTGTAGCAAGACCTTTGCAGATGGTACTTGGTTACTTGAAAGTGCATAACAGTATTTTCTTTGTAGCAGATGGATTTAAGACTTTTAGTTCCCAATAAATGTAGGTTTACAATACATAACTTTACAGGATTTGTGTTGTATATAACAGGTTTGAACATATTATCTCGGAATTCATCTGCATGGCATTTTCAGCTTATCCAGGGCCCATGCCAGTATTTTAAGTAATAGGGAGAGCATAGTGATTGATAGCAGCTAAAGGCATGCTTTTGAATAGAAACAAAGGGTTTAGAACAGAAGGTGTCAAATTAAACTTTGTCAGTTTGAAAAGTAGTAACATCCTGAAAGTTCTCCAAACATAATTACATGTGGCTAATGTTTATATTTTGCTTTGTACTCTCTTTATATTCAGTGTAATGTTGCCTGGCAAATTTACTCTGTTTTAAAATCAAGGTTGTTCCCAATGTCGTTGCAGAGTTTTGGGGGGTTTGCCTTGCTGCATAGATATATCGGCTTAATTATTTTAAGGCTGGTTTTTTAATGATGTACTATATATGCTGTATAAACCAGTTGTGATCTGATCTGAGTTATAACTATTTATAAACTATATATAGTTACATAACTATATTTAAAGACATGAAAAAACAGTGGTCCGAGCCCTCCTTCAGAATAAATTTTCTGAACTAGACAGAAATTGCTCTAGACTTAAATGAGTGTAAGAGGAGAAAAATCAGCCTTGTTAGGTTCACTTGTCAATTCAACTGCATTAACTACAGCAGTTCATACTTCTTTAGATCAAATGGAAACAAAACTTACAAATTTTACGTAACTTAAAATTCACCATTGGAAAAGTCTGTATGATTACTTTTCCTAAAATTTACAAAAACATTTCATACATTCTCATTTAGTTGACTTTTATGAATGGCCTTTATGACAGATACAGAATTCTGAACCTAAAACTAAGCGAAATAATTATGGTTTTGTTTGTTTGCTTTGAACCGAAAGAAAGCATATTGGTATGAAGTTTGTAGTCTCCTAACAAAGTAAACGCCTATAGCCTCTGTAACTACCCATTCACTATCTCTCCTGAGAATATTTCTGAGATCAACTTTCATAAATATTTCCAGAAATAAACCATGAAGAGCAAAAAATTGTTTCTATCCTTGTAATTTTAGAATAATTCAGTTGGTTGTTTCCACGTTGCCCATCATATGTTTCATCAGAGTATGTCTACTTCTTTAAAAACGTGAAGAACCCAGTGGAAAAGAGACATTTTGGGAGAATAGCAGTCTATTCTGTGTACCGTGTCAGAAGCGTCTGATTTCAGTATCTCAAAATCACTGCTTCCCTGAAAGGCTAGCAGAGACATGCTTCAGGTTACAATTCATCAAATCACTTTTAGATAAGGAATTAGAAGTATTATTTCAGTGCAAAAGTTGATAGAAAAACACTGGAAATATGTTAGTCGTCAGTAATTAATAAAAATAAGGTCTGATCTAGTAAATATAGAAACAGAAAAGACAGTAAGGGGAGAAGGAATTTCTTAGTTAACAAAAACTGTTGTTGTGAAATATGTTTAATCATCATAAAATGTGATTGCTTAGGAATTATTTTTACTACTGGACTTTTGAAAAGAGTTTCTACTGTCTTTTTTCAAAAAAAATCTGTGATTCACATGGTCACCAGACAAAATATATGCAGCTTCTAAATGCGTGGTACAATTTCTTTTCCAGTCTGTCTGTATACCTTAGAGAGCTATCATGGGAGGGGACAGGTTGTCTTGTCTTTTTTTTACTTTCACTGAACTGCCATGATAGTCAGCTCTGCTCTCTGTTTTACCACCGTTAGAAAGAGGACCAACAGTTTCAATGTGAAGCAGTGCAGACTCCAGACAACTAAAGGACAATTTTTATGACAATTTTTATGCTTCGAGGCAGGCTGGTTTGGTTGGTTTTTTTTTTTTTTTTTTTTTTTTTTTTTTTAATTAAAAATTTTATAACTGCATTTCAATTAAAAAATCTAGATTTGTTTCTCTTCATCATCTTCTTCCCTCCATCCCCAACAAACTACCTATATTTTCTGATTGCACGACTTTTAACTTGCTGCAGAAAACTAATGTTGCCGTCGAGCATAATCCAGCACGTATCCCCGTGGAAGCAAGGTGGGCAAAGAACCACGAGCAACGTGTTGATTTTGTGAGGGGCAGGGAGAGTTCATACATTAACCTTCTAACGTGTCCCAGGGCACCTTAGCATGGGGAGGGAGAATTCACAGACCCTTGCTACTGTTTTAAAATCATGCTGGGACAGGCTGCACGTTGTGTGCTCTATATGAAGGCGTTTGGCCCTGCTTGCTAAGCCCTGGGGCAATACTCGGCATCCACCCTTAGCACATGGTCAAGGAGTGGGGTGCGCTCCATCCCCGGGGTGCAAGGGGGCCCTTCTGCTGCCGCTGCTCTCCTCCCTCTCCCCTCCCTCCCTAGCACACCTAGTGAGCACCTGGCGGATTTTGGCCCCATTTAAATTTTTGCTTTCTCAACCCTGCTATCACCATCTCTCTAACATTTGTCATTCTGATTATTTCTATTTCTCGGGGGCATTTTCTCCTGTGTCATTTGTTCAGTTTTCCACTTATATCCAAGAGAATATACTTCAAATTTTTATACACACCTCACTAAATATTTTTGTATACAATATGAATGCATTAAGATTATTTGTTTACTTTCACCTCTTCCTATCGTGGCAATATTTTTACACTGCATTTATTAACTGCTAGCTAAAGATACGAATGTCTTCAAGAAAATATATATCTATATTGTATCTATGTATCTATTGTATCTAGTAGTAAACTAGTCTGGATAAACCATTTTTCAACTACCGGTACATATAAAAAGGATCTAAAAGCTTCTGTACATTTATATTATTTGTTGATTCAATAAAATGTCACATTATCTTTCTTACAGCATTAAGAAATAAAATTGCGTGGACCTAGTTTTGAAAACAGATCCTTGAAGCTAAAAGAAAGGAAGTATGCATGTTTTATACATGTAATATTTTGTTTCTAAATTTTAATATACCAAAAAATTGCTGCTGATGCAAACTGCGCTAGCTAGAGTTTGAACTCTTCTTTTAAAACTACCAGCGCGCAATTAAGAAAAAAATCCTCAATTAAATTTTAAGAAGACATAAGAAAACAGTTGTTAAATTTTCAAGATGAACTTGTTTGTCTCCTTCAGAAGCAAATTAGCAACCACTGCGGTTCTTGCAGGGGATTCTGTAGCCGACCGACTTCATCGCATGTATCCCAAAGCCATGTCTAAATTAGAGTAGGTACACTCTTAGGCAACTTGCTGTCCTGTGATCTGGAAATGGTATGAAGGGTATACCAGAAGCTTGAGCATATCTTGCTCCCCACCCCAAGCCCTAATAATGTATGTAAAACTGAGAGACTGTTTTTTTCTGGGTCTGTGAGAAAAATCCTGAAACAGATAATCATCTGTCACTTGAAGTAAGTTCACCTGCAGAGGCACCTCTACTCGTAGCAGATAGGAAGAAGATATTACTTGCCTGCGTCTAGTCAAAGGATTCCTGTCTTTTGAAAGGACATTAGGGAGCTCCTCTACTGCTGTGATTTACATTAGGCAGCTCTACAGTCAAGGAAGATATTTGAAGTACTTTCTTTTTTGAGTAGTAGTACCAGGATTTTTAAAATTGCTCAGCAGACAATCTACTGGCTCCTGAAAGACGGTGTCGATGCTCTCGGATGGGTGTAGCCTTGAATGAGAGAAAATAGGCAGCAGAGAGAATATACTGGCATCAGTGGAAACCTCTGTCCTGCAGAGGGGAGCGTGTAAGGGATTCTGCCTTCATCAACTGGTTTGTTTCTAAGCAAACAAACAGCAGCGCTGTGGTGCGGGACCAAGGGGAAGGTGCCTTCCAAAACGCTCGCGGTTGGTGAGGGTCTGTGAAATAGCATGGCAGCCTCTTGGTGTATCGGTGTTTGCTTTAAGCCCAGCCTATGCAGTGAAAGCCCTTTCTTACCGGGAGAGAGTGTGAGAGAATGCAGCGCTGCTAAAGTACACGTTTCGCCCTCGTTTTGCCCCTCGTGAAGTGAGGAAAAAAACTAATGTTTTGCTGGTGTTATCTTCAAGGGGTGGCTCTGTGAGCTGTTACGTTGGAAAGAAGATCCCTCACCAGAGAACAGGACCCTCTGGGAGAATCTCTCCATGATCCGAAGGTTCCTCAGTCTTCCTCAGCCTGAACGTGATGCCATTTATGAACAAGAAAGCAATGCAGTTCATCACCATGGTGACAGGCCTTCCCACATTATCCATGTGCCAGCAGAACAGATTCAGGTTAGTTTACCTTGGCCAATCCCGCAGAGCGCTAAGTAAATAAAGCTTTAAACGGAGCAAAGGAAATTAGTGTTTCTTTCCTCCTGGCCAGGCTAAATGCAGGTCTCCCGGTATGAGATAAGAGCGCGCTGCCATCCGCCACCAGAGTTCAAAGGAGAGCGTGCGACCACGCACAGTTTTTGTTTCGGTTCAATGGTTTTTCGCAAATGTGCATGGACGCGGTGGCGCAGAGGCACCTGCGTGCCGGGCAGGGCGAGCCTCCATGCTGGCTGTCCCTGCCTAGACAGGCGTCAGGACCGAAAGGCAGAGGCGTTTGCCACCGGTTGTCAAACGCCTTACCAGCAAAGCGGGAGGACCTTGTTGTGCTGCTGTTCAAAAGCTAAGCTCAAACCCTCGACAGCGGCGGCTCGCCCCGGGTAGGAGTGAAGGGAAGGGGATTTCTCATCCCACTTTAACCCCAGTCGAGGCTGGGGCGAGTCAATGTTTGTTTGTTTTTCCTTCAGAGCCCCTCTCCCACCACCCTTGGGAAAGGAGAGCATAGAGGCGCTTTCTTACCAGGCCTGCTGACCGCTGGACCTTGGCTGGGTGCTGCTCCGCAGGTGAGCTGGCACAAGGACACCGTGTCAGGGAGAGAGAGGAGGGGATGCAGGACCCACGCCACGCAGCTTGGAAACAGCCGCCCTCTGCTCCGGGGCAGCCCCGGCGGTGCCCCCTCCTCCGGGGGCTGTGCCCACCCTTTGCTCACACGGGCATCGCGAACCGGGAGCGTGGCTGGCTGTTTTGCTAAATATTGTAGCCCAGGTCAGCAGTGTGGACTGCTGTCTCTCTGAGCTGGGGACTCTTTAATCCCTTCTGATGAAAGACCGGAGGTCAGCCTTTTAACTGCTCCCTCTTAAAGGGCAGAGATTATCCCATGCTTTCCCAACCTCAGCTGAGACCCAGTGTATCATTTTATTACCTATACAGAAAAATATTTACAAAGCTAGGACGGATAGCGTTATCTCGCAGCCAGAAACAACACGAGTGTATATTAAAGATAAAGCAAACTGAGTAAGACAATCCCTTAGGATATCAAGTACTAAAATAATTGTGAAAGCCTGGAAACTTGCTATTTAATTTAGCAAAAAGAGAGAGAAAGATCTATATTAAGTAATAAAACAGCACTTGTTTGAAAATGTACATTGTTTTTAATAAAATCGCTTCTTAAGGGGATAAAAGGAGAAGCTTATGCACAGTATAAACATTCAACCACTATGCCACTTACTTAGATTTTCTTGCCTTGTTGATAAAAGTTGTGTGTTTGCGCTCGCAAATATTATTCACATAAGCAGTTGCATTGTAATCTCTTAACATGACTTGTAAGAGTAAGGATTGGGAGATTGGGCCTGAGTTTTGCCTGTGCTCTTCTACATGGTAATTGTTGTAGATGCATAAATATGTAGCTCAGACACAAGTTTTCAAACTGTATATATGAAGCCTCCAGTCTGGTAAGAATTTAATGTGCTGGGAGTAGTCTTGAATCTCTTTGGGATTGAAGCCTTGAATGGGACTGCTCACAGACCATAAAACATGAAAGGATGTGAACAGAGATGAGGCAAGAGCCCTAATTCTACTAGCATTTGTGTCAGATCTTACAATAAGAAGATCACTTAAAGCAGTGGCTTCTAAACCATGTGTTGAGACCGATGTGAAGTCTCCGCAACCACGAGTGGCACTGCAAAGTGGACAGAATTATAATTCCTCCAATATTTATACTATTTGTACAGTATTTTGTGCTTCTTAGGGTCTGCAAGTGAGCTACAACTTGGAAACCACTACCGAGACACAAAAAATTCTCGAGGGGAGACTCGCAAAGGGAAATGAAATCTAGTGATAGCAACTGCTTGTTTTGCTGCTGTTGTTTTTTAATAATAACTGGTGGTTTGTACCATATGACAAGAAATTCGCTGATCCAAAATATCTTACTAACCAGTGCTTCCTGTGTTGTGAAGCAAAAGAATTGTCAACAAAACCAGTAGCTGATAAATTTACTTTTGATTTTAAACATGATCTTATAGTGTACTGTACTCCGGTGATAGATGAGAAAAACATTTCTGTCCCTAGGGCTCAGTGCCTCACCTTTTAAGAATGTTTCTGAATCCACGCTTGCAAAACTTCATTTTAAGCTCTTGTTAATTATTTACATCATGATTTGCTTTATCTTATTCTTCTGATGTGCATACTGGCTCATTTTTATTGCCTGTGTTTTTGGAATGCAGCATGTTCCCTTCTAATAATAATAGTGCAACTTATTTAGAGCTTTGCATCTTAGTGCTTTATAAATATTAACTAAATAATCCCCAGCACAAACACAGAAGCAGGTAAATATGTCTGTTCCCTGTTTATACGTTGGGATGCTTGAACACAGGCAAGACAGACCCTCTCCGAGACCACAGGCAAGAGAGGTCAGAGCCAGAAGGGGAAATACAGATTTCCTACCTCCAGATCTCTTTGTCCTTGCCGAGGCTGGGTTTGACAGCATGACGTTAGGCGCTTCCAGCTAACACATTCTTTCGTAATGTTTGCAAGTTTGACGAGACTTCGGTGCATGCTAAGGTCAGATCAGTAGTGGGATATTTCTGCACCTAGCTAAAATGCTCTCCTTCTCCCTGATCCCCCCAGTCCCTTCGTCTAGCTATTGCTAGAGATTTGCAGCCCTTGTTTTTGGGCAGCAGCTGCTGCTGCTGGCAGAGCTCCTGTGCATTTGCCCTCATCTGGCACTTTTCTCACTTTGCCCTTGCTACAGTTCTGGCTAAGCTGGTCAAGTTAATCCTATAGTATGTCACCTACTTAGCATTTTGTCTTGTCTGCACTTGACTCATGGAGCATGTTCATTAAAATTTGTCAGCTAAGGGAGCACCAATGTCTCGTCGTCGGCGCTTTCAGTCAGACAAAGCCAGTCTTTTCCTTCCACACCTCTGTCCCTATCCCACCATTCCTTTATCCCCCATCTCTGCTCGCACACATACAGACACATGCGAGATATGCAGAGAGTTACTAACTCATATTTTAATTCTGGTTCAGCAATAATGGGCCTTTTTTTTTCCTTTTTTCTTTTTCCTTTTAGTCATTTAAACTTACTAAGCCTTTGTTTATAGCTTGTAATTTCCCCCCCGGATTTTCTTGGTAACACAAAATATGAGCAAGAATACACGTACAAAAAAAATGCTGTGCTTTGTCTTGCAGCAGCAGCAGCAACAACAGCAACAGCAACAACAGCAGCAGCAACAGCAACCAGGTCCCAGACTACCCCCAAGGCAACCGACAGTAGCATCACCAGCTGAATCTGAGGATGAAAATCGTCAGAAACCCCGACCGCGAACAAAGATTTCTGTTGAAGCCCTAGGGATCCTACAGAGTTTCATACAAGACGTAGGCCTGTATCCAGATGAAGAAGCAATCCAGACTCTCTCCGCTCAGCTTGACCTGCCCAAGTACACCATTATCAAGTTCTTTCAGAACCAGCGATATTATCTCAAGCACCATGGGAAGCTGAAGGACAATTCTGGTTTGGAGGTGGATGTTGCAGAGTACAAAGAAGAAGAGTTGCTCAAGGATTTAGAAGACAGCATCCAAGACAAAAATGCAAACACGCTTTTTTCAGTTAAACTAGAAGAAGAGTTATCGGTAGAAGGGAACACAGAGATTAATGCTGAATTGAAAGACTGATCTAAAAGTATTATTTTCTTTCAACAGTGCCACTGGTATTTACTAATGAAATGAAAATTCCATCTTGCGTTCTGTCAAAAACCTTTATTATTCATTGTTTGGCCAATGAATCTTCCAAAACTTGCACAAAAGTTGAAAAAAGGATAATGCAGACTGCACTAGATGTTTTACTCTGTTTTACAAACTGCTTCGCAGCAACAGATGAAGCGTTGAGGATTGTTTGATATTAATTTGTGTTCACTGGATACACTGTGAGTGTACCCAATAAGCATGATACCAGTGATTTTGATTCTGGAGCCTTCAGACAAGCATTACAACTTTTGTGATTTACTGTTTTTTGTTTCTGTTTTGTTCTTGTTTTTTAATTATTACTGTAGCACTCCACACTTGATCTTTGGAAACTCACATTTATTTAAAAAAATAAAATAAAAAAGAGTTTGTTACTCTTGTTCTATTGTATGTTACAAAAGAACTATAGACTGTGGAATGCAGTTTAAAGATAACATATGCCAACAAATGCCTTGTATTATATGGCACTGCCGTAATTCAGATTTGTTTTCTTTTGGAAATAAAGGTCACTATTTTTTTTTCCATTCTCATTGTTACATGGTTTTAAAGAAAATGAAAAAGAAAATGTGAAACACAGTTTAGTCCTCATTATTTATTTGTAGATCCTGCAGCATCATGTTGTAATTAATTTTTTTGGAAGTTTCCGTTAAATGTAATATTGCTTCTCTTGTTATCATACTGATTTTTTTTCTATTTATAAATGTATTTTGATGGGCAGTAAAACAAAGTGTCTTAAAAGTTTTAAATAGAGAAAATGTGCTTTACACAGTTGCCTATAAAAAGTGCTCTATGTTATCCAAGCAATTCATACTATAAGCTTCACTCTTATTGTTGTATGCAATTTTTACTATCATGCAAATAAGCTTAGGTAAATAAAACTAATAGATCACCTTAGAAACTTATGCAATTAATGTGAAAATAATTGATGTTTGCAATGTGTCTTCCTTTGGTTTACAATCAATTTTAAAGCTACAGCTGTATAAATTTTCTGTATAAAGGTGTATTTCTTTTTTATGAGTTTATTGCTATGAAAACACCAGTTATTTTGTTACAGCTGGCTGTTTTTATAAGTGTATCACAATTTTCTTTATGCAGAAATGTTCTGACTAGGAGTGGTTATTGACTGTAACTACACAATTAAAATTGTTTGTATGGTATGATATGGCAGGGGTTGTCTGCGTATGTGTGTATCTGGGAGGAATAACTTGTTCTTAGTGCACATTGTACCTTCTTGCCACTGCTTTGAAGATGACATTTCAATTGTTCTCCTTTAAAATCACAGGCAGATTTTTTTAATGACCTTCTTAAAATTTGAATTTAGATAACATACTTCAAAAAGAAACACAGTTTGGTTATGAAAATCATAACCTGTCTTTTCTTGGTTTAAAAACTTGCCTGCCCAGCAGAGATAGCAGGATATTACTGAGTCAAAAGGCTATCAGGCATAAACATATTTACAGTCCCTGGCAGTAATGCACTTATAATGGATACAGCTGGTTTTATTTTACACTAGAATTATGCTAACACTATTCCTTGCACTAATGTACAAACATTAAAAAACCCCATTAATAGTAACAAAGGAAAGATGGGCTTTGCACATAGCAGTCCTCTTCTAAGCAAGATTATTTTTAATGATCACTAATAAGGTTCTTGATAAAGCCATAATAATTGGTGAGCTCTAAATTTATGCAAGGCTCATGTCTAGGCTAGAGAGAAATCTGCGGCTAAAAGTTGTGAAGTACACACTTGTTATTCTCTTTTCCTGGGAGAGAAACAATTTGCACCCGGTGCGATTTGGGATTCGAATTCAGCTCAGCTCTTCTAAAATGACTAAAAGTTTGCAAAACTCAGGATGAGTTTCAAAGGTTGCAGCAAATTTCTCCTTTTAGCTCCGTTAAGTTCTTTAGGAAGACAACAAAGCAGGTTTTCATTCCACACATGTAAAATTGCCGCTGGTTGCCCGGATCCTCTGTCACAGTGCCCTTGGGGTTCCTTGAGCAGCTCCCAGCTGCGGCACCTCTTGTCTGCTACTGGGACTGTGTTGGGGCTGCACCATGATTTGGGCTTGGGGTCCAGTCCAGTTAAAAGAAAAGAGCCTTAGTACCACCCTGGGAGGGAAACAAGCCTTAGGAGGGAAACAGATGTGTAATTTGGCATTGCAGTCCAAGGGAAGGACAGTCAAACTATGCCCTCGCTCAAGGGACTTGTAGTAGCTACAAAGCTATTGATAGTCCAAAGCCGTGCTGATTGCAAAAGGGCAAAACCTAAGCCTGGTCCAGGAAAGCCACTGTGGTCACCGTTGAATTTCTTCACTTATTTCAAATGGGATCATTGCTTTGTACAGCCACACAGCTGCTCGGAGCTAGGACAGATCCCTGTTCACAGCCGTGGGACAGGAGGAAATGTAGCCCGGGCAATGCAAGCTGATTTGATGTGCAGGACAATACCACTGGCACCCTTGGGCTGGCTGAAGTGCCAAGTGACCGTTACAAGAGGGCTGCTTGATTAAAAAAAATAAAATATACTTTTAAACTAATATGCATGCATATGCAGGGTAGAAGGGAAAGCGAAGGAAAGACTTTCCTAGAATGTCCCTCTCTTCACGCTAAAAGCTAATACATGCAGTACTCCTAATACCAGAAACAGGGCAACAAGTACAACACCCTATAAAAGCATAAGAAGAAATGTTTATAAAATTGTCTATGCTATTCTGAAAGCAATTTCCTTTTCTTTTATCCTTTTAAGTTTTATGGGTGCTGAAGTAGAGGCCGTGTGCGCTTGCAGATGGTTATTATAGCTGTTTCTTTTCCATTATCTTCATTTTTCTTTCTCCTAGCCTAGCTGAGGTTATCTTCCAAGTAGTTCAGCCTCTGTAGTCACATATTACCTGCACAGAGGTTTGAATCAGTGCATTTTTGTGTCCCGGTGGGTGGGCTGCAAGTACAGTCTTTTAACTTGGCCTAAGTGACCAAAAGCATTTTTGTTAAATCCTTAGCAGCGTTTTCAAAGGTGATATGGGTATTAAGGATCCCAACTTTATGTGGATGCGAGAGATTTATACTGTTAGGAGTTAAGCTACTACAAGCATATGCCACCTTGACTCATGGACGAGTTAGACTACCTAGAAAATTACCTTATGTTCTTTTCTGTTCCTTTTTCTCACCATCTGGCATAATCCTACAAAAAAAAAACCTTTCCATTTCTGCAAAGGTTAAGAAATCAAGCTGGACTTCCGTAACGAAGAACACAAATTGAGACGTCAAAACACTGTTAGTTGGGAAGTTATTAGTAAAACTCACTGAGTAGGACTTCACTGAAAGTGTATGAGTATTTCGTATATACTTAGGGAGGTATGGGGAGAGAATATTGTTTACTAGGAATAAAATTTAAGCTGCAAAGAAAGCCAAATGCCTAAAAAAGAGGCAACTGAGTGCTGGGTGGGGATGGCAGGACATAGTTTTTGCTATAAAACTGAAGTTAAGTATTTACTATGTTTTATGGTGTTTACCATAAAAAGTGGAGTATTTTTACTCCCTGCTGATTCCCATTAATCTATATTTAACTGACAAGATTTATGTGTATATGCTAGAGTCCCCAGTGTGTGTTTCTCAAGCCTGAAAGAAAACCAAAGAGGCCCCAGATTCCAAGAGGTCCATGGCTTGGGGGCAGTCTCAAGCCCCAGTTACATATACAAAGGTTGCTTATCATTATAAAGACTCCCTACCCCACAATGCAGGATTTTAGATTTGTGTTTTGTATAGCTACTTTAAATTGGTCAGATGGCACAGGACAAAAATGTCCAGGTTTTAAAGTAAATTATTCCACTTAATTTTTTCTTTAAGTTGGGAAGGTGCAGCAAATGGAGAAAGAAGGGAAGGTTCCCCCAAACCAGTGATTTTGTTTCAGTGATTTACTGAGTCAATACTTTGGTTGTGTGCTGGGAAAGCACCAAACATTGCTAAGTTCATTTGCCAAAGCAAATGCCCCATACGTTAAGGGCGGTATAAATTAGATACCACAGAAGATCTACTTGAGCATCAATTATTAGCAATTCTGTTTAACTTACTGAACTTGTGCTTTTGATGTCAGGTATATTGCAGAGACCAAAGGTGTTTTGATTTTTTACATAATGATTTATATTGTGCTTTGAATAACAGTCCCATAGCAAAGCAAGGATAAAAATACACTCCCAGGCCTTTTTTTGCACACAGATGTAATTTTAGTTCGGTCTCCTCACAGTGCCTTGCGTCCACACAGTGTTGTAGTCCACTACAACAAATGAGCTAATAATTCAAACTGCAATAAGTGATCCTCCTTGGAGTAGGAGTAGCGGTACTTGGTAGCGAGTTTGTTTGCTTTCAGGTTCATACGGGAGCCTTCCCGACCGCTCTACTGCTGGCAATCCTCCCACTATCCCACGCCGCATTGTTTCACATTGGCCTGGCCCTGGTGCCCTTCCTGCTCTGGGTCATCTTGCCCAAATGTCACCTCTCCTGGTTACATGCCAGCACTCAGGTATATGTGCCACAGCTTAATATGAGGCAGCAAGGACTGTATATATCTGATGTCACCTACCCTTTATCATCACTATTCCCGCTGCGAGCCCTGCAGAGTTGCTAGAATAGGCCACTTTCATTGGAAAGAGAGTGACAACTGGAGCAAATCCACCAGCGGGCAAGTAGTTTCTGAGCTGATGGAGTGGAGGGGGCAAGGGGACACGCATCCCAGAGGCGAACAGGAAAGGAAAAGAGGAAAGTGCCGGAGAAAGATGGGAGCATCGGTAAAGTCACGATAGCTACCCTTGCATGGAGGAACAGGCTCCTTTTGCAAGCCGTGCTACAGTGATACCCGGAAATACTTCAAAGTACTGCCAAGACTCTATAGAAAATGTTTCTGACCTGAAACATACAATGGTCTCCAATCAGGGGATTTGCCTTGGCAGGCAAGATCCAGGATAACACAAAAGCCTCCTCAGCTGTCTGTGGCAAAAGAGGTCCCCTAACAGTTTATCCTCTGGTACTGTCCCTGCATGTAGGACGCACAGGATTCTTTTCGTCAGCTGCAGACTGACAGCTACCATGGCAGCTGCAGTTAGGACTCTCTTTCCACATTACGTGCTTATCCACACAATATACTAAAGCAACATCCAGGCTGTAAAACCTCTCATTTTTCTCCAGGATCACATCCAACCACAAGCAGCACATTTGCAGCCTCGAACCCACTTTTCTGAGCTGCCTCCTGCAGCCCAGCTCCTCCTCGGAGCAGACGTGCCACAGGAGTTAAAAAAAAATCAAATGTGTTGTATGGCCCAGATGTTTATCATAGTGCAGGAGAATAGAAAAAACATTACCTCTGTGGGCGCACAGAGTTATATAAGCACGCACAGTTCTGCAGTTTTGGGGCAAATAAGTTGCCCCAAGAGGCTTCAAAGAGAGATTTCATACTGCTATAGTCGTCTTAAAGCATCAGTTGCAATGATTTGAAATTGTTGAGACCAGAAAAATTCATGCAGAGTCCTACTAACTTTGCAGGGGACTTTCTCCTAGAACAGAATTTAAAGCAAAGAGCACTCTGTTTTGTTATTCACATTACAAAATAAACAGCCTTTGCAGGACCAACCTTACAGATGCTGTTGCTCTTCCACATCCACAGTAAAGCAGGACACCATCCTGGTAACAAGCAGCACTGCCCGCAGCTGTGTGTCCCTTCTTGCCCCATCTCAAGGGGGCTCCCCTGCAGGTAGCATGACCCAAAATGGCTTAACTCTTCTTTACTCTCCCATCATGAACCTAAACACGGCCCTTCATCCACAGTCAATGTTTTTACCTGGGGAAAGCAATTTAGAAAACAACTTACCTTACAGCAAACCGCAGCACGGAAAGGTAGACGAGAACGTCCTTTCAAAAGCGTAGGAAAAGTGATTCTTATCATTACCAGCATGACAGCTTGGACTGGGAAATAAGTACAGGTGGTGATGTTGGCTTGCCTTAGTAGGCAAAATGCTATATCCCCAGCCTAATAAGGATTTAAGATCAGCTGAGAGACTGAAGGACTCAGAAAAGGAGGAAAGATGAGAAGAAATATCTAGATAAAAACTTATTGGGGGCAGTCATGCCTAGAGATGGCTGGAGAATTGCAAGACTAGTTTAAATTGAAGGAGATCTGA